ATTTTTCAATAATAATTGTATTTGATCTGAACAAAAACAGATGTTATATATTTCTGAGGTATTTTATTACCTCGTTTCTAATTTTCTGATTGACTGGATTGAATAAAAAGGTGACATACAAAGGCACACACATCTTAGGATCGCCTCAAAAGGATAACTATCCACTCAAATTTTTCAAGTCACAGCTGATCTGAAACCCTCAGGATGTCTTGGGGGATTACTGATACCTTAATATCGGTTACCACCAAAAAGGGACTTGATCCTGACCGCAATTACAGTTTTCTATGCCGGTTTAATTTTACGTCTAATAAAACAAAACTATAACAATTTGCATTATTTCCAAAATTGACACAACATTACAGCTTACGCTATTAAGTTATGCCTCTTATGGTATGCTTAGTCCATTGGACTGGATCTAAGCTTTAGAAATATGGTATACAGGCAGGGTATAGTCCGACTGAGGTGATAGGATGCTTTTTATCCCGATTAAATGCTCCCTTGGTAGAAACACACGGGCAAAGTCGGGGGTGAAAGCTAGTTTATTATTATCCATTCTATCAACAGAATCACTATTTGATCTAAAAACCGACCGAAAAACTAGTACGTCATTGTGATTACGGTAATTATTACAATCAATATCGAGCAAAGCTAAGTCATGGAATCTTCTCCTGGAGTATACCTCTAGGAGAAATAGAACAGCTGTTTGTCTCTACACTTGAAAGATTATTAATACGTTTACTGTGTAAGAATCTAGCTAGATCCTTTATGACCCAAACAGGGGGATTGACATGGTCAATCACCGTTTACAACATGTTTTACATACTTACATTTGAGATTAATTGACTAACTGATGTGTTATTTCATAAGTTAGATTAATGTGACTGATTGTATAGTTTTTAGCAATAAATGCTAAAGGACATATGGTTCTGGTTAACAAAGGACAGTAACCACAGATTTTGATTGTACAAAATTTAATTGTACGACAAATTATTGATTCAATAGAGATCAGATATAGATAAAAATGTAGTCAAAAACTTTGCTATAGGAGCGGAGGGGTTCCCCCCCCCCTCCGGTGCGGTGCAACCTTTTGAGGACTGCACTATAGATTTAACGTATTGACGGACGCCATGACTTCTTAAGAGATTTTAGTTGTGTAGAGTATCATTTTAATAGTATTCCAGACGGCCCGCGTTTCCACTCTTCCAAGGTCATGTCGTAGACGCTCGGTGGTGGCCGCCTTGTTCTTAATTAGGACTTTGTCTATGTGATAAAGCGTAAAGAAACGGGGTACTACCTACGGCAAGCGAGACACGCCAAAAACTCGCTCTCATTTAGGAACTACTAGTAGGTACGTTCTCTGTGCCTGATTGAGATAATCCAGGACCTAAGAAATCAAAAAAGCTGGAAAGAACACCCCCGCTGGGTTTTACAACGTTGCCATATGTGGGAAAATGCGTCACAAAACAGGGCTTGTCCGTAGTTTTGATATAAGGGCACGTAATTGTCATTACATGTACTCGGTATGACGCAAATAAGTTGATCAGTGGAACTCCGCATATGAAGACCGTTTTGTTCGTGCATTCTGCAGACAGATGCTCTCTAAAGTTTCACAAAACCTCAACAGATGATCTTCCTGGGCATTAAATATCTGGTACATGAAATACGTGTATGTTAACGCATATGAACGTATAATGGGAAACTGAGGTTTAAATCCAGAAGTGGAGCCACTTGGGGCCCCCCCCCCTTTCGTAACGGATATATGCGATAGACTTGATGTCGTCCTATATCAAACCAGTCTATTTCAGGATTGGCTACTATGACGATCTTTCTCGTGCTCTGACCAGAGACCCAGGAGAAAGAGATTGCCCAGGTAAGCTCCCTTAGCAATATCTGACACATTGTGCAAGCTGCTGGGAATGAGAAGGTAGAAGTAGCATGTGTAGGACCGACAGAAGATGATAATTCTGGCTCCTCCCACACAAGATTGTTCACATGAGGTAAAATGAAGACCCATCTGCGATCGCCCTTTAAGATTTTATTCTTGTAGGTTCAGAAACGCTTGAAAGTAGAGTCTTTTTCTTGACTAGAGTCTTGAAACTGCAGAAGCAGCAAATATAACTAGGCTCTGGAGTTCTGTGCGTGACTTGCATTTCTTCCGCATTAAATGGCAAAATGACCCCAGAAATTTTACTACCGGGTAAATGTTTGTGATTTGACCATGGATCCCTGGCTTAATGACTTTTGTGTAAATAGCCAAACCAACTTTTCTAGAACATGGAGCCCAATTTTCATACGAAGTCCGAAGTTGGCCTTCGTCCTGATGGCAATAAAAAATCCCGACACCTCATTGTCCCAGTGTCTGGGAAAATCGTAGCAAAAGTATTGGGCGCTGCGCTCATGCCTAATGATAAGCAAGTCATTCGTAGCAATTCGTTGCGATAATTTAGGCACATAAACCTTCCGTGGCTACGGGCCACAGAAAAATAACTCTACGCCTGAGAAATGTCGATTTTGCATAGACAATCAGGTTGTAGAAAATGTGAAATACTATGTGTTTTAACACGTATGTGCATTAACGAATCGGTCAGATGATACATAAATTCTGAATTTCCAAATGGACGATGCGGTCGCCCTTGGACCAGAAATATCAATGGTAGGAAGCTTGGCTGCTCAGTAGCTCGGTCCGTAACTACCTGTTCTGTTATTTTGTTCATGACTGATGTCATTTCTGAACAGAGTGTCAGAGATTCTAGAACAGATGTTTGATGAACAGATGTTCCAGTTCAACAAGTTCGTTCCGACAACATTGGGGTGAACCAGGGTCAGTTTTTGTAAAAAGGGTATGCGATACCTTTTTATTATCATAATCTGACGTTCACAAGTTCCCATCGGTCTACCAATTGCAGGAGACTGTCCGCTCTGTTGTTAATACTTACGTCGTTTGTTGTCAATGCTGCAGCATCAATGACGGGGCGATGATACACGTCTTCGCTCCTGACTTGGCTAATTTTATTCTGCCGAGGATTTGACCAACTCCGACAGATATTCCAATTTTTCGGTGCGACCGAAATATATAAAAACAGCATGAATATGATATAACCACCTTGCGGAGGCGGGTTTATTGCTGTTGTCACCACCTTGCGGAGGCGGGTTTATTGCCGTTGTCACCACCTTGCGGAGGCGGGTTTATTGCTGTTGTCACCACCTTGCGGAGGCGGGTTTATTGCTGTTGTCACCACCTTGCGGCGACGGGTTTATTGCTGTTGTCACCACCTTGCGGCGACGGGTTTATTGCTGTTGTCACCACCTTGCAGAGGCGGGTTTATTGCTGTTGTCACCACCTTGCGAAGGTGAGATACTGCTAGCACATTGCGAATGTGTATTAATGTGTTGGAAACCTTGAGCAAAAATCCTGCGAGGACTTTGTAAGGCTGTGGCCCCTGCGACGGGCCTCGAAACTTTTGGATCTACCTGCGAGGTAGATGTAATATTTACCTTTTGCAATGGCCAAAAACATTTTCTCACGCCACCAGCTTATTCTACAGCGGCAGTAAACCTCTATGCGCTCTTAGTATTAGGAGAATCTCAGAACGATGTCCGCAAACAATCTGTAATAAAGCTTAAGACTAGGTACTTACTAAAATCCCCTGTGGAAAAAGGGTACTTTTGAAGTAGCATATCACATGTAGCAGTTAGCAGTTTGAAGGGTTCCGAAAATCCCGTGTTAAAGTGCACACAATATTCAATCAAGTATACCATTAACTTTAAACTCAAACTTAATATCAAAGCAACAAAATATATAATAGGAACGCACTTCGGTTCTATATTTGCATAGTCATCTCACTTTTGCAAGATAATTAGGTACAACAGACAAATAACTGTGCAATATTATTAACAGTCGAACAGAACCTTCGTTCTTTGTTCGTATAGTGGTACAAATCCACCCGATTTTCTGAGCAATAGCTATAGCATAGGGTATCGCGTCAGCAATTCCACGTATGCAATATACAGTCCAAGACTGTACCGAATTAACCAACAGTTCTGTTGGGAGCACAGCTCTTGAGTTTTATCCGAAGACACACTTTGATAGACATACAATTTCAAAACAATTTATCAGGTCATCAACATCAAAATAATATTCTTATAAATTTTCAATAACATTAGACAGAAATGCATGGTCCAAAATGGTACTCACGTACAAACAATCTATTGCTAAAGGTTACGTACCTGTTTAGATAGTTTTCGAAACTTACGTTTAGATCGACACTTCCATACGAAGAAGTGTTCAGGAACAACATGAATAATCGCAATTATTACCTGAATTTTCCATAATAGATAACGAAAGAATAATCTTTATTTAATTTAAAAATTTTACAATTGTAATAAAAGCCGTTAGGACATTTATCACTTTTATAAAAAAAAATATAAAAATAAAATCGGAAGGTAGTTTCACAACTTGTGAATGGTTGTCTTGTGACTCACAAGGCACAACCATTTACGGCGGGAAACAAGACGCCAATGAAATAAAAATGGCGAGTCTCGCTTAGCAAGACTCCCCACCACTGCCAAGTGGAAGTGACGTAGTAGAAAGAGATAGACATATAGAAAAAGCGGAAGGAGGGAAGCAGAAGGCCTATCTCAATTAAATAAGCTTCGAATAACGGTCAAGTCAAATTAATAATTGAACATTTGGTCGGAGAGATAGCTTTATCTCTTGTTCTTATCTTGCGAGGAATAAATACCCGCCCGAGGTATAGAAATTAGAAACAAAAAACCATCAAATAAAGAACATCTATTTTTTATCTAGCGTACACATGCTGCTATCTGTGATCGAAAAATGAAAATAATAAGAAGTTTAAGTGCGCCATCTAGTAACCAACATAGATGTTCTTATACTTCGAAAAGATGTCGCTAGTAGTTTTGTAAAAAGTTTCGTTGTATTTTCTAAAAATAACACCAGAGTTCGTTCCAAGCGCTATATTTAGTTTTTAGACATTTGACAAAAAAGATGGCAGCGATTGCCGATTGCTGTCCTTCGGATTTATTGCGAAAATGGCGCATTATGTGATATTTTCACATAAAAATATAATTTTAAGTGAAAATTTGTGTAGTGCTGCATAGTGATGGTGTGTTATTTTTCATGAATGACAGTGTACTCGTGTGTAAATAGGACTGCGACTTTCTTCTGGATATTGGATTACACATAAAATAAAGGTATTTATGCCTCCTACGCATAATTCTTCGATTTCCATGTGATGTCCTACTTATATTTGAATTTAAATTAACTGGATCCTTGTAGAAACGTGTCCAAACTAGGAATATTACATAAGAATGTGATCTTCTAAAGGTACTTGGTGATTTCTTCATGTGGTAGCAGCATTTATTTCTTCGGAAGCTAGCATATGTTATTGCAATGTTCTTGGAAGTACTGTAGGTGTATAAGTCGTCGGGTGGTAGCCGGGTGAAGGAAATTGGTTACTTTGGGTATTGGGCTGTCATGACATCAGCAGGCATTACCCATTGCTATAAACTTTAGCAGCATGATTCATCAAGCACTCCACGGTCTTTATCGCTAACGTGTTAAGGTTCAAAGTATTAAGAAATTATTGTAAAAACATTTAGAAATAGGTCAGTGAATATAAAGTGAAATTATAAACAGATAAATGCCCAGACCATTAATTTATTACCTCTTAAGCTCCTCACCTCCTTTTGCACGGAATTTATTTCCATTTAGACTATTAAACTAAGTAAATTAACAGTTAATGTACAAGGAAAAAGGTCTACAGTTTGTGCCTGTATAAACAAAATTAATAAATCATACACCTACTTACCTACTTAGAAGAATCTTATTTAATTTTCATATTTCATTGTTCATTGTCATCTGTTCTAGTTGACTATTTTTTATTTTGTATTTGTTTACATGACACACATTTCTTTTTAATGTGTTCCTGAATATGCATTATGTAACTTATTAAAGAATTAAAAAAAATATAATATGAATACTGTGTTATATAGAGCAGAAAACTATGAATAATTTATTTCCTACAGTCAGTAGATAGTATGATTTACACATTCTTTGCTCTGAGAATTCAATTGTAGAATTAAATTAATTTTATTTTTAAATTATATAGCATATATTGAATACACAATAATAATAATAAACAAAACCTATTTTCCTCAATTAACACAAACAACTATACTATTATTAGTAACAAGGAATTGATTGAATTAGTAAAAATGTTCAGCGCTCAGAATTTGCAGCACATTTTATTTTCAGAACAAAATAGTTTGCAGTCCAACAATCTGGTGAATTAATGATCAGACAGATTAGAATCTCAGTGACAAAAACATGCTTTGTGTTTTTCATTAGAATATTGTAGTCCCGTTTCTAATAATAACAACAAAACTAGGTCTTTAGCTTTTTCCTCAACAGAGCAAGCTACAGATTGGTTGTGACATAGATTCGTCAAGTTGGTTTGTTTATTTTTAAAAGGGGCAATCACTATTTTATCATCATCTCCAGTTAATAATAATAATAATAATAATAATAATAATAACTTTATTCACCAAAAATAAAAGAAGTTACACAGTTTAAAACATATGAGCCAGTAACAGATTTCATATATGTATACAGTTATTGTGTCCTTGCTGTAGCTTCTGTTGCTGAACTAGGTTCATGACCTGTGTTTCAGCAATCAGTGCCTCTACCCTTGGAGATTATACAAGATAATTGTACACAAAACATAATTGTGATAAAGAAATACAATGAAATTGAAGTTTATTTGACTTAGTCTATACTTCTTAGCAATATGCAATGAAAACAAATATTAGTAAGTGACGTATGTGTATGTGTGTGTGTTTGCGCGTGTGTGTGAGTGTATGTGTATGATGTATGTTTATGAATGAGAAAGAGTATGAGCGTAACTCGGATATAGGTTGATTCCCACTAGATCCGTTTAATTTATTTTAACAGACTGCGCAAGTATTTTTATAAATGTTTTATTTTATTTTGGAGTCAGTAAAAGATTTTCTGTCTCTTCATAGGACAATTTACAAAGCCAGTTGAACAATGATTTTTTGAGAGTATACCGATCCATTGGGTATATTGATAGTATTCTGTTTATTTTGTTGTACATAAGTGGTCCAAGAATAGGATAAAATCGACGAAAAAAATTTGTTTTTGCAGTCAGTGTCCTGTCGCACACAGCATAAGCTCTACGCTTCTGTTGTGAAGTCTGTTTGAAATCAATCATAACGTGTTGTTTCATAGTGAGATTAAGTATAAATAGCTGACGTACCGACAAGACTTCACAGTACTCATATAGTTGTTTCGTAGGGAAGCGGAAAGGCTTAAAGGTGCACAATTTAAGTATAGTTCTCTGAGCCACCTCTAGTTGTTTTATAGTGGTCTTGGGTGCACCACCCCATACAGTAATACAATACGTGATTAGTGATTGACAAAGAGCAATATAGATTTGCTTAAGCAAGTGAGGTTCGACTACATGCCTAAGAGTTTTAAAAACATATATCAGTTTGCGTATCCTTTTACTTACTGTGTGTATATGTGTTTTGAAGTTAAAGCATTCGTCTATTAAGACCCCAAGATATTTTATTGTTTTGACACGCTCTAGTACCTGGCAATGACACTGCGACACATTTGTTGATTTGCGTTGACAGCGGTTGTGTGCTACTAGATTCAAAGCGACATTGGGTGCACGAATTGAGAAACATATGTACTTAGTCTTCTCTGTATTTAATGTGAGAATATTATTATGAAGCCAGTCCTTAACCATGCAGAACCCCTTCTGTGCTAGTTTATAGGCCTCATCCCACGTAGTACTAGTAAAGATCAAAACTGTATCGTCTGCATATGAAATAATTTTTCCCGGAAAATCCTTGAGGCGCAGAAGGTCATTTATGTATATAAGAAACAAGGTGGGCCCCAGGACGCTACCCTGAGGCACACCGTACGTCACAGGCAAATCATCACTCGAATGATCACCAATACGAACAAATTGTGTTCTATCAGACAAATAATCAGATAGTAAGGATAGTTGCTTGTCTCTGATGCCCATTCTGTTCAATTTTTTTAGCAGTCTTGGAATTGAGACCGTATCAAAGGCCTTCGATAAGTCCAAAAATACCGAGACACATTTTTTACCTTGATCCATATTTCTTGTAATATACTCCGTAAGAGCACTCACGGCATCATCAGTACCTTTGCCCCGACGAAAACCATATTGTTGATCAGATAGAAGATTATTGTTTTCAAGATAGTTTACGATTCTATTATTTATAATTTTTTCTAACACCTTTGAGAGACTTGGTAAAATCGATATGGGCCTATAATTTTCTAAACAGTCTCTATCCCCACCTTTAAAAACTGGAGTTATTCTAGACCTTTTTAAGTTTCCGGGAAAAACACCTTTCTCCAGACATTTGTTAAAGACGTACGTAAGATGTGGCACTAAGACGTTTTTGCATTCCTTTAAAAGCCCTGTTGAGATGTTATCCCACCCCGCTGCACTACTATTTTTAAGGTTTAAAATTATTTGTTCGACTTCTTCCTCATTAGTGTCCAAGAGAACAAAAGAGTTCGCACTGCCATTGCTATTAGTCTCAATATCCAGACTACAACTAGATGAAACAATTTTCTCCGCTAGTGATTTACCAACATTAACAAAATATTTATTAACTTCATTTACCGCCTGTTGTGGAGACTGTGATACATTAAGCAGCTCTTTGGGATAGGATAAATCTTTTTTTATATTACTAATATTTTTTATTGTGTCCCATATTTTTTTATTGTCCTTTCCTGCTTTTAGAATTAATTGCTTTTCATAATCTCGCTTTACTTTTTTTAGAATTTTACAACAGAAGTTTCTATATCGTGTATAGGTCGTTTTGAGGATCATATTATCAGGACTAGACTTAGACTTCATATGTAATTTATCACGGTTATGCATACATCGTAACAGTCCTTGTGTTATCCACGGTTTTATGGTCCTCTTGCGGCGCGACAGGGTACTGGTACTTGAATTATTGTTTATAGCTATTATGATATTATGAATGATATAACTGATTGTTTCATTACAGTTGTCAATTTGGTAGATTTTATCAAAATTTATGTTATTTACATCATTAATTAGATTAGCTTTATTAATTTTTGTATATGTAAAAGATGCAGTATTGCGACTTTGATTCTCCAATAGGCACCAAATTACTGATTTGTGGTCAGTGAGAGTAGATTGTGGTACTATAACCCATGATGGTACTTTACATTTCAACATGACATGGTCAATACAAGTTCCACTTAAGTCACGAGTTACAAAATTATGAGCTGGCAATACACCATGATAGGCCAATAATACCAGGTATTGATCCAGTATCTCAGAGCTATCAGAAATTATGTTTATGTTGATATCTCCTATGATAGCAATATTTTTAAATCCCAATAAACTCTTCAAATATTCATCAAGCGACGATAGAAAAGGGCTTAAGTCGCAATATGAAGGTGACCGATATATCGCCAATATTGCTGTATCTTGTTTTCCTATCTTAATAACCAGACAATTACAATCCTGAATATGAGGTTCTTCAATAGTAAAATCCAACTCTTCCTTCACATATACAACTACACCATCATTTTTAATAGGGTTAAGCGAGGTTGCATAATAATGGTATCCATCTAGAGATGGAATCACCGAGACACAGGACAGCCAACATTCGGTAAGGATAAGTATGTCACATTCTACTTGTAAAGATGCCAAAAGAACTTGAAAACCAGAGAAGTTACTATTTATGCTACGAATATTTTGTGCTAGGACAGACAAGGACGAGCACGGGGGGAATATTTTACAGCATTCCTCAACCGTGCACTCTGTGGATCGTGCGATAGCAAAATCATCTAAATCAGCAATGTATCCACTCAAATTAGTCATTATATAAGAAGTATTTATATTTATGCTTGTATACTTGGATGACTTCATGAAACAATATTACCAATGTCGCCTTATTATTGCAATAATAGCACACAGATCGCACCGTATTACAAAAACAATACCAATAATATTTTTTTAAGATTGATACCGGAGAGAACATGGTCTCGCAGTTTTTTATTAGATGTATGTAGTAACTATAGTAAGAATCAACGTTGTCTATATGTATGTATTTAAATGTGTGTAGTGTTGATAGTGTAAGATTATTATTATAAA